TTCGACATATAAGAACACTTTGTATGCTTTTAATTATGTTGATTTATCGTTTATAATATGTTCGACCTAATTAAAAGCACACAAAGTGTTCTTATTGGCCAGGACAGATTAGTGGGGTTAACACTAATCAATATCCATAAAGATATTGAAATAAATGTTGATGCTGTTATTGATAGGTTTTCCAAACAGCGTACTAGAAAACTTGATTTTGTTTTGTAGTTTTATTTATAGTTTATAGTTTTTATAGTTTTTTTGATAGTTTAGAGTTTTTTTATAGTTTATAGAAAATTAACTAATAAACGTCGTTGTTTTATTTTTGTTTATGTTATTTACAAATCTCTATTTTAATTTTAAATCTCTATTTTTAATTTTTGTGTTATGTTTTTATATCTTTTTGAAGACAAAAAAATCGCCGTCGTCTTAATTCGACAAAAAAATTCCGACGGCGATTTTTTTTGCGACTTAATCATAGTACCACCCCCATAGCATACACCTATCTACGCCCCTGCTCTGGACGTGGAAGGCAAAATTGATTTGTCAAGAGCGTCTTGTATATTTTTGGCCAGGAAAAGTATATAGCCAAACATTTATATTAAATTCATCAGTTACTTTTCTTCCTTTAGCTGATTTGTTAATTTGTGCAATTTGAATATTAACAAAATTTGCTATGTCCATTGATAGACATAATTTGTACATAGCCTCTTTCAATAGATTAGATTATTCAATAGATATTTTATTGGGTATTTCTTTAATTCTTAATTGTAACTCCTGGCATGTTTCTTAATTTTAATTGTCTATTCTCTACAGTTAAATGTTTAATTGATTTTTCATTTTTACTTTACGAGGAGTGTGCGCGGTTAACGATTTATTTGTTGAGAGAAGAGTATTGTGTACATAAAATTCAGTTTCAGTCAATTACAGTATTTTTTTAATACGACCCTGTCTAATCAATAGTTTATTTTCTGGGAAATTTTTTAATACGTTTTAATCCGGCCCTGACTCGGCACCCATAATGGTGATTTCAAGGTCAAATTTTATAGAAATTTTAAACAATGGGATCTGGGTAGAGTTGGCCTGCCGTGTGATTTATATGCCGTGTACATACTTTAGGTTTACACTTAAACAAAATTTCGAACTATTGCCGGACCCTGTATATTTAAAACTACAAAAATTGTAGTAATGCAATATCAAAAAATTGGCGCCGGGAGGCACGTATAGCCGCCCATACTAAAATATTTAATAAAAAGCAATTTTTTTATCTCAAAAACTGCGACTTTGACTGATTTGGATGTTATTACAAATTTTGTTGCAAATGTTATTCCTAATCTTAAATTGAAAACCGCGTTTCGCAAGCTACTGGGATTTTGGAGTTACGATTTTTTAAAATTTTTAACCCCCTCCCATACCCCCTTGCCAACCCCCCACTCCCACCAAAAACTAATGGCCAGATTCTCGGGTGCCACAGTATTTTTGTGCCAAATTTCGTTAAAATCGGTTTAGCGGTTTTTGAGTGATCGTGTTACAGACGGACAGACAGACAACATGAAAATATTTTGTATTTAGGTCATTTATGACCCAAATAACTCATTTTGAGTGAAATTAAAAAAACTTTTTTTTGCCGATCTTAATAGCCTACCATACCTGTTGGTATGGTTTGGTTTGGTTGGTTTGGCTACTGCTTATTCAGCCGAAAGTGTCTGCCAGGTGCACGCGAAAACTCTTCGCTTTGTGACGTGATTGTAGTCCTTGTCATGATAGTGTGTGTCTTATTGGTTGCCGTATGCAAAACATTCATTATTTAGTTTATTTATTTAAACACCATATGTATGCGGTATAGAAAATTAACTGTTTAAATCCTATTAAATATTCACATAATGCATTTTTAAGAACAGCAGCTCCCAGCATCACCTTTTGCAGGCATTCTTTTAGAACACTTCCATATTTTGCTTTAAAATAATTAATAAACAATATAGTAGGCACTTAGCAAGCATTTAATCACAATTCACAACACAAAACGAAGGTATTTATAAACTCTATAGCTCTAAAAACTTTAAAAACACCCTTTTCACATTTAAAACCGACAAAATACCTAATTAACTTAAAGTTTCTCAGCTGTTATTTTTATTAGTTTACCATAGGCAACCAATAATACACACTATCTTGACAAGGACTACAATGACGCCACAACTGTCAGCTGAAGCGCGGGAAGAGGCGAACGTACGTCTTATGAGGATTAGCAATCCTATTAGTTTACCATTCGTAACCATTCTTGCCAGGGCCGGATTTCCGCCTAGACCTGCCTAGGGGCCCAGCCAGCCTAGGGGCCCCAGGCAATGAGTAGCGCGCAACTTTTATATATAAGCTCCAAATTGGCTATGACATGGGGGGGGGGGGCAAATGTCAAGTGCCTAGGGGCCCTGGATGTCTAAGTCTGGCACTGATTCTTGCACTATACCAAAGTTTACAGAATTAAAATATCTGTAATCTATCTATGCTAAATTAAGAAAACGTTAAAAAGTAACAACACAGTCCTGGTTTTAATAAATATTACTAACGATGACAGAACTAAAGATATTAAAGAAAACATCTGTAATAATCAAGTATAAAAACAGAAAAAATACTTTATATTGCCTCCCTTGGCTGCTATATTGCACAGGTTGTTTTAAAGTTAAGGTAAATAAACCCTTCGACTAACGCTGTATAATAGGCCAAATACTAGAATTTATAAAAAACGGACTTATGAATTAAAGTTGATATATTTATATACAGTTTGATAAAAAATCATAAAAATAGTTGTATTTAAAAATATAAATAAAAGAACAGCAGCATTTTATTTTATATTTCTCTATGAGTAGCATATAATCATGGAAATGGTATCATATACAGGGAGCTACAAATTCGGGGTACGAGCATTAGTATCTCGGAAACCGTAATATATACGTATAAGATGATTAAATTGGGACAAAGTTGCGCTTTGGGATGTTCACCATGATGCCATCAAAAAAATTTTTAAAAAGTTCAAAGATTGCTGAGTTATTTAAAAAAAAAACGGACTTTTTCCTGTCGTTACTTTTTAGAATATCAAAAAACTAATTGCACATTCTCATAGCCACTTTATCAGGGCTATCTGAGTATTTTTAGATTTTCAAATTAGCTGATAATTTGTGAGATACACAAGCCAACATAAATTTTTCAAATACGGATCTGCATTTTTTATTTCAGGTTTTGAAAGAATTCGGTCTCCTGAGTACAATGATATGCAACACTTGATATTTGTTTGTTTCAGGCATTTAAACACAATTTATTTAAACTAATTTCAAGTCCGGCTCTGTTTTTTTTAAACATTTAATTTATTCGTCGTTACAATATTGATGCAAGCTTTAAAACTTAACATTAACGTGGGGAAGATCAATTACAATAAAATAATAAAAAATAATACAAATGTAATATAAACAGTCAAACCATTTCACCGGAAGATGGATTGAAAATGGTGGAGCAGCAGGGCCTCTTTTACCATAAGGCCCATGGGGCCGGTGGTCTGGGGGGCCCGTTAAAGGTTGTAAAATATTCATAATTTCAAATGTAAATTTACATAGCAGAGAAAAAAAACAGTTACCTCTGATAAGGAAAATAGAATAAAATAAAATAAGCTCTAGATTGATATAATTAATGCATTTTTTAAAATTATTTATCGGCGATTCCCCAATCTAAAAATAACACTTCGTCCTATGTGGGAGAGTTTGTTTAAGTTTTGTTATATAAATATTTTCATTTTTTTTTAATTATATTTACTTGTGTATTTATTATTTATTGCTATTGTTTACTTTGTTTTTTGTTCACTAAAAGAGAGGTTTTTTTATTTTGTCAATTTACTATTAGAAATTTTGTTTAGGTGCCTAACTTTTGTTCTCGGTTTTGTTAAAAAAAAATATTTATTTTTTAAAATTAGAATTAATCGTTTTTTTTTATTATTTATTTTGTTGAATATAATAATGTTTATTTATTTTTAAAAATTATTAAAAAAATAAAAATAAAAATAATTGTTTTATTTTTTTAACCCAAACTAACAAGAGAATTTTTGAATTTTATTGGAAAAGAGGGCCCAAATTTTTGGTTGGGCCTTAGGGCCCGACCAGATGAAAAATAGACCCTGTGGAGCAGTATAATGGCCAGCGAGGTTTCCACACCTGTTGCCAAGGGGCGGGGGAGGGGGCATTATTTGATGTCATTTGTAAAAATGAAATCAGTACATCTCTACATTTACAACAAAGAGTGCATTCAGATGTATAAGAAAAAGATCTGTTGAAAGGCCCCCTTTATAAAAAATTATCATGTCAAAAAGCTCCTATAGGTATGCCAATTTTCATCCAAATATTGACGTTACCTACTTCAGAAATTATTTGAAAAAAATAGAAATAAAAATAAAACTTCTACAACCTGTATCTCGAACTTTTTTACTTATTTTTATCTGCAGAATATGCTGAATATGCCTTCTAATTTTCCGGTAATATTTCTAATACAGTTCGGACCACCCTGTATATTAAAATTGACTATTATGATTTTGGCTCACCCTCTATAAATAACTTTTTACTTTTTATAAAAACGTTAAATTGATTAATTTTATATGAAACACCCCTTTTATCTTTGAAAAAGAAATCTCCATGTTTTTCGTAATAATTTATGTTACGTCCTGTATATGTTTGTATTTCTTTATATTTATAAGCCATAATTACTATAAATTATTTAATAGAATTTATTTGATAAACAACTGATTCTTTGATTCTGACTAATTTTTATTTGCGAATTATGTGGCAGATCTTGTACATTTAATGCACTACGGCAATCCCGCCGATAAACATGTGGTGATAGGCGTGGTTTAACTCGCGCATTGCAATCGGCGATGGCGATAGCGATAGATTTTCCCGTAACAGAGAGAGATAAGACGCTACATTCCCCGCAGGTGCGATTGCGCGTTGAGTCGAACTACACATTTTTGAATTGATAGAGTGGGCATTGTACCCATCCGTGAGTTGTCAGAATTCCGTATTTCGAGTTGTTCGGCGATCGGTGCGGATGTTGTGCCTTAACTTACAGGAGTCGTGAGTATCGTGATGCATAATAATAAATAACAATAAACGTCTCAATACAAGTGTAGATCGTATTTAACTTGTAAAATAATGGCTGTGATGAACAGAATTGTTAGTGGTCGAGTTAAAATGTGCCGGTTGCAGAGTGTTGTTTTGTTTTTCGTGATGTTTGTCGCCGAAACTGCATTTGCAAATCCTGCCAGTTGCGAACTAGTCAGAAAAGATATGGAATTGAGGGGCATTCCTAATGCAGATGTGCTCGTGAAACCTCAAAACGGTGAGTTTTTGTGTCAAAAAGTACCCTTTTATACAAAATACAAAACCATTCTATCAGGTGTCTGCGGTATATCAGGTTTATTTATCAACAATTTTTAGTATACCTGCCTACTTTTAAAACAAGTAAAGGGTATTTTTTTTTTGTTCTAAATATTAATTTCTTATTTTAAGATAGGTGGAAAATAATCTAAATTTCATTAGAGATTATAGGTAAATATAGTACCTGTTTAATCTTAATGAGTAACTTTTTGTTTATGCTTCTTAATTATTATTATCATTAGCCCTTGTTTGTCCAGGATTAATAAATTAATACCTAGCAATATTATCAGTTGATAATGAATTTATTTGATCTTTAAGCTGACGAATTTTATCAAAATATCTCTAAACTACCTAGTAGGTAGTATTATTTCTCATTTTTATGAGTAGGTTAAAGTACCTATGGGCTATGAGTTATATTATGTTAAATTTTTACTTACTTGTTCTGCCTAGTTTATAAATTCTCTCCAACGAGTCAGTGAAAATTTCGACAGACGACATCCAAAGATGACAGAAAATACGATTCGCCTGTGAATTAAAATGACAGACACTACTGTCACTATCAGGGATTTTCTGGTTGGTCAGATTTATACAATATGATAAAAAAAAACGGCGTCAGCGATGGCTATGAAATGAAGATGACTGTCATTTTATATGTAAAATTATATGGGGAATGTCATCGATCGTCATTTCTACGCCAACTGGACGCTCTTTTTTTCGATCGTAAAAAGCTTATTAGGAGAGTATACAAACTATCCAATATCTAGTCTGGTTATTTTTATGAAAAATCATACTTCTACTAAAATGCTACGAATATGTGTTTGTTTATACATATACCTACTATCCATCTAGTTTAAATACTAGGTCTACAATTCGGTATTCGGTATACAATATATTCGTTGCTAAATTATATGTAGGTATATTATTTTTTATAAGCAGCGTTGGGCTTTTACCTGGCCACTATTACACTTTTTTTTTAAATCAAATTTCTTTGTGATAAATTTTATTTAAAAGATGTTTTATGAAGAATTTGACAGTGTAATATGTGTGATTTTATAAAATATTGTATATTAAAGCCACTATTACACTATAAAATTTCTTTGTCAAAGATCTTTTATAAAAGATATTTTAAGAAAAATTTGATAGTGTTAATATACCTACAATATTTTATAAAATCACGTTACACTATCAAAGCCTTCATAAAATAGCTTTTAAATAAAATCTTTGAAACATCCTCAAATTTTACTTAAAATATCTTTTATAAAAGATATTTGACAAAAAGGCCACTATTACACTATAAAATTTCTTTCTCAAAGATCTTTTATAAAATATATTTTAAGAAAAATTTGAAATGACACTTATTACACTTATCAAATTCTTGATAAAATAGCTTTTAAATAAAATCTTTGATAAAGAAATTTTATAGTGTAATTCCCGCCTAACACTGTCAAATTTCTTTATCAAAGATCTTTTATAAAAAATATTTGATGACAAATTTGACATTGTTAATATACAATATTTTATAAAATCGCACATATTACACTCTCAAATTCTTTGATAAAATAAAATCTTTGACAAATAAAATTGATAGTGTAATACTGGCCTAATAGTAGCCTAATTCCAGCAAGTTTTAAATTTCAAAAATATGCATTTCATTCACATTAACATCAGGTTCTATGGCATAGCAGAATAGATAGCACAAAAAACTGCATTTTACATTAAACGCCTTTGCGTTTTATTGCTTTTAAATCTATTTTAGTTTAAGGAGGGTATTACACTACAAAATATCTTTGTCAAAGATCTTTTATAAAAGATAGAAGATAGGTATTTTATGAAAAAATTGCCAGTGTTATTTACAATATTTTATAAAATTACACAATATTACAAGTATTACACTGCCAAATTTTTTGACAAAATAAACTCACAAAGAAATTTGATAGGGTAATAGTAGCCTAATTAATGTACATACCACTAAATTTAGTAAATATTTTTGAAAAAAGTTCTTTATATTTTAAACGGATCATTTAATAGAAACTAAGTTATTATACATACTTAATAAGATGATAAGAAATGATCTTATGAGAAGGATAACCAAAATACGGAGAGCAAACCCAGGATCCATTTGGCATGGGTAGCATTTGGAAATATGAGCGATATTTTCAAGGATAAAAAGGTGCCCATCAACCAAAAATCATTAGTGCCCAAAATCATTAGGGAAAAAAACGCAACACCTACATACGTCAAAAAACAAAATTAATAGATGTTGTTAAAAGAGTGGAAAGTCTGAAGTGGCAATGGATAGGACATGTGGCAAGACAGGATCCAGATAGCCCCAAAAAGTCATCCTAATGTAGACCTAGGGGGGGAACAACAAGAAGTGTGGGCCGACCAAAAATGAGATGGGTCGATGACGTCAGGGCAGTGGCGGGAAGACAATGGATGAGATTGGCTACAGATCGCGAAGCATGGAAAAACCTAGAAGAGGCCTATATCCAACACTGGATGGAACCAGGCTGAGAAAGAAGAAGAAGAAGTGCCAAGCTTGCGTCCAGCGTTGGAACAAACGTTCACCCCATCGTGTAGGAGACACACTTGCTAATTGCAATATTTTTGAAAACTGTACCAAATTTTGGTTCCAACCTCGGTTGCAACGATGAATATTCCCGTGACTATTATTCCCTCATTAGAGGATATTCATATCCAGATCTCTATAATTGTTTTAAACAGCAATAACTTTTTGTATTGTCGACCTGACAACAGTAAAAATATATTGCATTTTTTAGTAGGTTTTTAATGGTTAACGTGCAATGAGCATGTTTAATATTTTTGTTTTCAATAATCGTATAATCATCAAAAGAAATTCCGAACAGTTTGTAGGGACCTAATTATTTTATGGTAATTTTTATTGTTTTTAATATTCCACGTAAATTTTTGTATTTTACTTGAGATTTTACTTTATGTTCTTACATGGTACCGGTTATGTTCTAATCTGATAAGAATCGTATAATTATGGCAAATGAGTGGGTAGATGTGTTTTTGTGGCTCTGGCGAAATGGTAAAGAGTAATAATGAGCAATAACTCCTTAAGTTAAGGTTGGGGTTATCTTTGTACGCATCGATTATCCTTTAAAGTTACACCTTGGGAGTGTAATTATTGTTTTATCGTAATTTATAATCGTAAATTGTTAAACGTGTAGATTATTTTGGAATTTTTTAAGAGGCGCAAAAATTATTACATGGCAGTACCCGTCGATCAGTGGTAATTGATATCATCAGTAAAAATTATACATACAACTTTAAGTATATGGGAATATTTTATCGGTAAAATTATATTTTGGTGTTAGTCTTTGATTTTAATTTGTCTATAATAAATGAGTTATTTTTTAATTCTCCCTAAGTATATCAATATTTGAGTCACCTGGATGAACTATTATTTTTACCATTTTTAACCAATAACGACCAATTTTTGATGCAAAGTATACGAAAGATAATAGTTTATTAATTAACACCGAGGTTAACACTAAAAAAAATAATTGGATTAAAAAAAGGACTCAACTCTCAACTTTCGTTTAGCTAAAATCTGTTATATAAAAAATGACTTTATATGTATATTATGCGTTCTAGAAGGCGCCGGCGTTAGGAGTACAAATAGACAAAAATTTTCCTGCGGAAATGCCTCATCTTCATTTTTCGGACTTTAACCAAACCGAAATCTGTTACATTAAAAGTAGTCTTCAGGGTGTGTTTTAGACATTTTTCTAAACATAAAAACACAAAAAAGTGCCTGCGGAAATTTTTTATTTTTATTTTACATAAAAAAAATACTTTAGAATAGCCGAAATCAGTTACATGAAAAATGAACTTATATTTGTTTTATACGAGCCTTTACGTATACAAATACAAAAAAATTCCTGAGGAAATGTGTCAATGTCATTTTGTGCACTTTGTTTTTCATACATTTTTCAGTTTAGAAGCTTACGGGACCCGGGAGCGAATAGGGGTGCTGGGTGGGGTAAAACATCTTTCGGAGAAATAACAATTCTTGTAGAATAGATAATATAGGTTCTTGTAAATTATAAGTACCTCGGAATGTTACACTTATTCTTGTTTTTTATTAAAGCTTTACGTAAATAGGGCTGATTCAAAACAAAAAATCATTGGATCATGCAGTTTTCTTTTATATTTTAATAATTAACTGTGATTTTGCAGAAATATTAGATTGGTTAGGATTTCTTTGTGGAGGGTGTTAAGCTGTGGTTTTTATATTTTAATAATTAACTGTGATTTTGTAAAAATATTATTAGATTTTTTATTAGATTGGTTAGCATTTTAGACACTTTTAAATGATTTTTTTTGTTCAAAACTGCTTCATCCAAGGATTTTTTTCTTTTAAACTGTTCTATAAGCATAGGACTTTCTGCCAAAAAAAATTGCTAAATTCGTGGGTACTTATACTTTACAAGACCCGATAATATAATAAGCAACAAATGGAAAATGAAAATCAAGCATTTCCGCAGGAAATTTTTTATTTTCCTGAGTCTGTAAACGCTTCTAAAAGGCAAAAATATATATTTATTTTTTATATAACTGATTTCAGCTATTCTAAAGTCTATTAAATTTCCTCAGAAAATGGATACAGTTTATTCCCACAGGAAAATTTTTATTTTCCTCAATTCGTGAATGCTTCTAAAAGGCAAAAATATATTTATTTTTTATATAACTGATTTCAGCTATTCTAAAGTCTAATAAATTTCCTTAGAAAATGAAAACAGCTTATTTCCGCAGGAAAATTTTTGTGTTTATATGTTCAGAAAAATTTTAAAAAATAAAACGCAAAATGTATTTTTTTATAGCAGATTTCAGTTATTATAAAGTGCGAAATTTGGAAATTACGCATTTCCGCAGGAAAATTTGTGTTTTCCGTGGTTCACAGTAGCTTTTTAAAGACAAATTTTTTTCTAATAA